CATGAAAACACCTGCAGTAACCGACACAAAAATAGCATTTTTAGAGTGATGAAATAATTGCACTTAACTGTCATGGATATTAAAGTTATCACACATATGTACCGCGAAAGCTAGAATACATTTTTTTTTTTTTACAAAGCACTTTATAAAAAAATTCTCTGCACACAAAACCTATAATTTTCATATTACTATCATACTAAAGATAAATTCACTTTAAAGCCAACACTTAAAACATTTTAAACAAAAAAAAAAGGTACCAGTACCTACACACAGACAATAACAAATACAAGAATACTGTACTGCCAAGAGGTTTGACTGAAACTCCTTTTGAAAGCTTCTGCAAATATGTTAAGAAAACATTGGAGAACATTCACTTTTTTCCAAGAGCCTTCCCTCCCTGTCTAACCTAGAGGTACTTTATCATCAAAAGGCAAGTTCTACATCAAAAGTTACCAGCAGCAGTACAATATTAAAGTAACCACTGACCATATATGAATATGCTTAAGTCACAAACCCATTTTATACACATTACACAAATAAACATAAAGTGAGAATTCCATTAAGTCATTTACAAATGTGAACAAATGCACATGGCAAAAAAACCCCAAAACAAAACAAAAACCCAACCTGTTTTACATAAAATGTACTGAAGAATTAAAGGCTATTCAGGTTTTCAATGTTATAAAATCTTCTGTCTTTTTTATTTTTTTCAGGCACATATTGTATTTTTTGTCTGCAGTCATGAGCCCGAATCAGAGGCCCATAAACCAAACCAAACCAAAAACAAAAACACATATTCTGTAAGGAGGTAACAGGGATCCATCTCCTTTTAGTCAACTGAGTGCATTTAAGATTTAATTTACACACTAAAACTAATTACATGATCTCAGCAAGAATGACCTGAAAAGTTAAAAGATGAAGATATCCAAAGTGTTTCTTGTACTTTAACTTAGCCAGCCTCAATCTTTTTTTTAGGGGGCTAAACATCTTGTTATGAAAGATAAGAGGGGGAAAAGAGATCATCCTGAGAAAAGTACAAAACTGGTCTGTGTTGTACACGTCCGCTGTGTGAGCGGGTACGTGTATCGCTGTGGGACAGGGCAGGGGCGGGCAAAGGTTTCTCAGTGTGACTGATCGCGTGGGCTGGGAAACCTGTGAGGGGAACTGCTTCAGAAAGCAGGCGTGCCCCGGGACCTGCATGGGAAAATAAATAGCTACGGATGAGTACGTCAAATGCTGTATCTGCCTCGAACTGGCCAGTTACTTACATTCAACATTAATGTACACCCTTCATTAGTTCAGATAGCCTAGACCGGGGAGGTTTGAACAGAGGAAGCTACTGCCGAACTTGGGCTGTAGCTGCGGCAGAAAGGGAAAGTGAGAAACAGGCATTCTATCTGCAATTCCTTCAAAATAGTGGTGCAGTACCTAAATAAAATCATTTTGGAATTCAAGTAAGTAAACCTACATTTATTAGTAGTAACTTTTAACAGCCCCAGATGGTACCGTTATGCTTATTTTAACATTTTAATGAGACAGAAATATAGTTTATCACAAATATTGACTAGTACAGCTGAAATGTTCGGTAATAACTGAAAATATATGCTCTACTTGTGGGGCGAAAGTATCTTTGCCCTACCTCAGTCTCATTGAGTTCAACAGGATTACTTGTCTTACAGAGGTAAGTGAGATTTAGACCTTGAAGGAATAACAAAAATAATATTTTAGAGACAGGGAGCTTGAATTATCACAATATTTACCACACAGTGTCACAATATTTCTATATATAAAAAGTTAATCTTAGTTTTCATCAAATACTTTAAAAATCAAGTTAAAATTGTATTCACAACTATATAATCCCTCTGACAGCTTTTGGTTTTGCTGATATTTGTTCTAACATAATTTTCTTAAAATCTTGCTCCTCTTCCCATCAATTTTATTCGTAGTGTACAGTATGGCCCCCGTTCACAGAAGGTGTCAAAAACAGACACATTTTTACGAGGAGCTATTTTTTTTTTTTTCCAATACATCATCTGGGAGAAAAACAAAACAAAACAACCCTGTGTTTTGAATCGTGCTGGCCAGAGGTTCTCTAACAGCACCTTCATCCACAACGCTTCACACGCAACATTTCAATGCTTAAAAACGCACAATTGTATTTACTGGAGCTGTTCTCCGCTTTCATGTTGTTATTCTATGCACCCGACTTTCAGCATGCACAACTTTGTAAACAAAATCTTCTGTCTAAACAAAAATCTTCACAGATATCAAAATATTATTAGAGGAGAACAATGAAGTCACATTTGTCCACTGTCTGAAATTCTGCAGTATATGGATCTCTCATTATGCAGATGCACAACTGGCTAAAGAGATAGAAATGTGAATAATTTTCATTTTTATAGCACAGACAAATCAGTTGCTGGTTGGCAATGCTGTCAGAAATGGCAAACAGTAGATTATTCTTCAGCAGGTTGATCATTAGCAAAATCAGTTTGCTATAAATGGTGCTCTTTTGTGAATGGAGGCCTGTAGATTCAACTTATTCCAATAAACCAAAGGCATTATGGTGATAACTAAATATTTTTGGTCTCTCTACAAATTGTCATTATTATGGCAGCACTTTTCTAAGCTGGAATTTCAAACCAAAGGCACTTTCATGCTAGAGTGCAGAAGAGTCACAATTAATTATTTGGTCATGAAATTTAAAAAGGCAGCATTTATTAATACAATTCACTTTTCATGGAGAACTAAGACTCTGTAACCTTTCCTTTTGGTATAGACATTTAACTGCGCAGTAATGGGACTGACTTGTACAGGAGGTTGCTTTAGACCAAGCAGTCAAAGAGTTTCTGTGGGAAAAAAATACAGCTATTTAAAAAATTGGAACCAATTAATAAAAGAATATATAAATTTATGTTAAGAGGCGAAAGGTATTTCTAATATAATGCTAAGGCACTGCATATTGTAATGCTTTGGCAGCTCTCAATTAAAAGGTTCCTACAAAAAAGTAACAGTAACAGGATAAGTACTTCCAGCTTACAAAAGAGCTCACAGTTTACAGGCAGCCTGTTGGACTACACACCCCACACTGAACAGTTGAAGGATTAAGGCTTTTAAGAATTAACATATACAGGGTATGGATCATTTACAGAAGTGTAAAGAAAGGACGAGGGAAGTAGTTTCCCTAATATTACAGATGTGAACACCAATAAACATTGTGACTTTTTTATACCCTATAGTTATGGCATATGTAGTGTGCCAGATTCTATTAAAAAACCTGTACCTGGTTTTACAAATTGACTTACATACTTTATATGCCTCAAAGAGTTTGCTCGTTATTAAAAAAAAAATAAAATCACCAAAACCACAATTCAAACCCTAAATAAAAGACAACTTTAGAACAAAATAAAACAAAAAAGTAGTTTTTGACTTGTAACACCAAGTGCTTAGAATAAAGGGCTACCATTAGGCTGTTACAATGCAGTGCTTTTCCTGAAGTGATTGTTAGTGTTAAAAACAAGTGTTAAAAGAGACTTTACCATGGACATATTTCTCTGTTCAGTTCATGGAATATAAACCAAGAGATCATCAGCCCTAATATCCATGAGGAGGTAACAGCTAGACATCACAGCAATCATCCACCTGCTAGAGCTAGAGCAGAGGCAGGCTAAGGAATTTAAGCAGTCTCCCTTCCTCTCAGTGATGTTTGTCTCGTCCTCTAACGTGGGTCCTCACCAGTGTTAAGGATGAACCTGGCCTGACACAGACATACAGCAACCTGCTACCTCATCTGGGCTGCATCCTAGGCTAGATAATTCTAACAGAGGGGACTATGCAGAAATAGCAAAAAATTAAGACTGGCTTTTTTGAAGACTACAAAACCATGCCTGGAAGTAAAGTCTAGACTTAAATAGGGCCTGGGCACACTTCAGTAAAGGGGAGGGAGGAGGGACCTGCTGCATGTTAACTTCTTTGATTCAGGGCTGCAGAAGACCTTCCCAAGAATGCTCTTCGCTGATACCTCATGACTGATCTTTAGGGTGGCTTGTGCTCAGCTGGGCAGCCCTCAGCCTCATTCAAAGGTTTTGTGCTGAAACAACTCCTGCCTGGGCAACTGCGGAGCAGTGCTGGGTGTGCAGCAGAAGAAAAGAAACTGAGCAACACTCTTGGGTGAAGCCAGGAGGAATGAGACCATGTCTCTCACGTGTGTGTACCTCAGACAATCACTCACACCCACATCCATGGTTTGAATCCTTACGGCATTAAAATATCTCCAGCTGCACTTCACTTCCTGGAGTCTTCCATGAATTTATCAGAAGGATGAATGCTACCACATCTGGATGCAAAAAGACATCAGACCCCACGTGGTACATACGTGTTTGTTTCAGGTAAGGTCTTGGCCAGTCAGAACTGGAGAGACAACTAGGAGAAGTGTAAGAGCACCATGAGAAAGAGGAAAAGGAGAAAAAAATCTCCACCTTTCCAGTCTTCTTTGCCTGATGTTGGTTGTGATTTTCTAGCATCTCATAGATATTAAAGCTGTTGATCCTTTCAGAGGTGTACGTATTCTTCTTTCAAACACATTAGTGTTTTGATTTCAGTTTATGAATTACTCAATGCTGTCGCGTCAGTTGTTTCCATCTGTTAATTTCAAAGTTGCAAGTTTTTCACTTAACTTATTAGAAAACATAGTTGTCCATATAAAATATAACTGCACACACAAGACTACATATAATGTGAGTCTAAATCCTCAGTATTTACCTACTTATTGCAAAATGAGCCATCTTTTTCATTAAATAATCAAATTTTCATATTAGTACAATACAACTTTATAGTATTTTAAAATACACTAGATATGTTAGGGATAAGGGATGTTGCTTTCTTTCTCTGCAATACCTGTTGGAAAGTTTAATGGATTAGAAGATTAGTTTTAGCGTTGAGAAAAAAAATACAAAATTTGCCTAATTTTAGGACCTGTCTGTTTCTATCAGGCATTTCTTAAGGCTATATTTTTCATTTGGTTTCAAACAGAAAAAGGTTTAATTTTAAAAAATAATTTAGTGAATTACATTCGTCCATATCTTCCACCCTAATTAGTTACAAAGATAATTCTATAAAGATTATTAACTTTTTGTACTCATTTACATTTATAGCTAAAGATTCATTTCAGTTTCACTTGCATTGTAAAACAAGTATTTCATGTTGGAAAAAAACCCAAAATAAATTCTTATAAATGCTGTCAGTTTTTCCCCATGGCAAATGCTCTGTCATACATTTTTCTATCAGAATTAAAAATAGGCCTCCACAGACAGAGGCGTTAGGTTCTTAAATACAGTCTTCCCAAAGACCTGTGGTTTACAAATTTGAAGAACACTTAGTTTTAGAAATAATTTTTTACAACTGTACCAGAATTTCACAGCTACAATTATATATGAACACATTAAAAATGACTTCACTAAAACAGGATTTAGAAAAATGTGGGTGAAAGTTGGGCCAGAGGCACTGCCACTTAGTGTTGAGGTTTACAGTCTGTGTTTTGATAAAGAAGTGAAATGAAGTGTATATATAAATAACTGCTCAGTCCTTTACAAGCCTGTAGATATGATGCTGTGCTCCATGTTCGCTGTTCGACACTTCAAATACACAAGCCATGCAGAGCAGGGTTTCTTGTGTATCCCTGTTTGTTACAACCTGTTTGGGAGGAAGGAAGAGGGGGACAGTATATTACAAACTCGGAAACACCAAGGCCAAAACAAGAAATGACCTGCTTAATTCAGACAGTCTTCAGACGGGACTCTTTGAACCGTGTGTCCTCTCGCTCTCTGGCAACTTAAACTGACCTCTGTGACTGCGCCCAGGCGCTGCGCTCTGCGGCTGAGCTGTGAGGCTGTAACTCCCGGCGCTGCGGGGCTGTAACTCCCGGCGGAGGGCACTGAGATTTAGCCCACCCTGTCTGCTTGACCATGAGTTTCCAGCGTGTGCTCTGGCACAACCTCAGCCCCACTTCAGCAAAGGGAAACCAGTGCACCCTTGTCACCTTGTGTTCACTTGCCAAAAGGCCACTGAGGGGGGGCTGAACACAGCTCTGTGCTCATGGCCCTACCTCTTCCCCACACCGCCAGCCCGTGGTCCTGCCTGAATCCTGTGGTTGCAGCAGCAGTGCACGGCTCAGTGCTTGGTTGAGGTGCCACTGCAAAGCAACAGTGAAAGCAAGCTGGGTAACTGGATGAAACTGGTCTAAAGGCCACTATGTGGCCCATTCTTCATGCTTTAGATCACCTGTTGGGTGTATCCATTACTGCGTGCTTTCCTGGCCCAAGAACTAATTAACACCACTGACATTTGCAGTATTATAACTGGCATCTCAGTAAGAACACAAGATGAATGGGATGGTTCAAAGTCACTGCCCCAGGCTCACTACAAACACCAAATAGACTTGCATGAAGAAAACGAGAGGTAAGCTGAATTTTTGGAAAGTAACAAAGGTGTTTGTTCATGTTCTCAGCCAGCTTAGCCTTTTCATCCTTAGCGTCTATAGTGCACAAGTCCAAGAGCATTACTCTGAAGTCAATGGGCTGATTTGCTTAGTAAGCAACATGACTCAGGGATTCAGAAACTGGTTCTAAATAGTACAAGTTCAGCAAGGCATACAAAGCCTGAGAGCATTTTAGAAATGGAAGAGTAAAAAGGGAGCCCATACCAATAAAATTGTAAAATTTTCCAAGACGCTGTTCATCATGTATTTCTCTGGTAAATGCTTCAGTTTGTGTATGAAGTTGATCATATATTCACACATCGGAGAGCGATTTATTCTGTACACGAATCGGCCGTTCTCAAACCTTGCATATTCAGTCTATTAGAGAAAAAAAAAAAAAAGAGAGAGCATTTAGAATAAGATAATTCAGAAACAGCAAAAAAATTAATACTAAATCTGGGGTTTTTTTCTGTCTTTATGTAGACAGAAAAAAGAGAAAGTGTCTCTTGGGCACACAGCCTGCTACACGCTAACTCCCTGCCCAACCTATGCAGTGCCTTGCTAAATACTCAAGTGCCCTTAATTATTAAGTTATAATATCACTACTTGTTCGCTAACCTATGAATTAAAAAAAAACCCAACAGATTAGGATTACACAAAGATAAATCCAAGGCAAGTGAAAATGAATTAAGCAGAAAACTTTGTGGTAAGATGATTTGACAGCAGTTTCGAGGCAACTGTCTGCAAAGGGAATAGCAAAAATAAGCGTATGTATCTATGCATAAATATATACATAGCTGTATTATTGCATGATTTAATAGGCAATTTATGAATTGCAGAAAGATGCAAGATTACAGTTGGAAGAAAACCAGACTGGTTTAGATTGCAGGGGCTCCCAAGGGGCTGAAGGAGGGTATAGCTGTGACTCCCAGACTCCTGCTGCCCAGCTACCAATTGCTCACATCAGGTACTCAGTGGCTTGTGGGGATTTTTGGCTTTCCCTAAGCTTGGAATAATGGAAATGATGCAAAATTTTTTTACGGTCACCATGCACAGAAACCATATTTAGTACATGGCAGGCACAAGCATTGACCAGGACATCTGTAAAGGTTCAACCTGCAGCTCTAGGCCAAAATTCCTGTACAAAAACTGTATTGCAGATAAAAGATGTGGGCATGGGGCTCAGTACGCAGAAGACAAGTTAAACAGCTGCAGTACCGTTGTACAAGAAACCAACCAGCTACCTGGCCACGCCATACAGTGCTGTGCTTAGAAATGGTAAAAAGTAAATAAAGGCCCTTGCATATTAAGAAAATATGCACCTTTGTATTCCAAAGCTGCAGGTGACTGTGGAAAGCATGCCTCACTGTGCATAAAGTAAGATCAAATAAGCATGAGTATAGACAAAACATAGCACACCATCCATGGCTTTAAAAGATTTAAAAACTCTAGGTGACAGAGGGTAGCTCGTCACTGTAGTATGGTTCCAAAGAGGCTACGTGGCTGGAAAAGTGTTTGGAAATGGGAGCAAAAGCATTTTTGCTTCATGTCTTTTCTGACAGGTGATGTAGGAGGCAGCACTGATGTCAGCTGCAGGTTCCCCACCTAAGGCTGCCCCGGGCAGGGTGGAGGAGAGTCTGCAAAGGTAACTAGGATTCTACTTAACTGTAGTGTCACCATGCACACAGTGATTTCAAATGAAGCTGAATACTGCTGGGAAGGAAAATACTCTTTCTGGAAGGATTAGAGGAACAAAGGAAAAGACAGATAAGAGCAAAGTAAAGACAAGAGAGAGAAAAGCCTAATTAAAATGAAAGGCAACCAGAGAATCATCCTACACATCCCACCACAAAACCCACCTCTACTTTTTCTACTACTTGCTTTCCAAAAGAGCAGACTTTGGTGGAACAGGTGATTGTCATGTTTTCTGAGCTCTCGTACTGACTAGTGACTCCGTAAAAGGCTCCTGTGTCATCTTGAATGTTGCAGTTTAAGTCAGCCTGTTGGGAAAAAGTCATAGATGTTGAAGATTTTATTTTTCATTTGACAACGTCAGAAGCATAAACTGCAATTAGCTCACTGTTCTCTTCAGAAATAAGGGGGGGGAGGGGGGGGGGGGGAGTTTTATAGTGACAACAGCTACAGTCTGTCAGGAAAATACCTGACTAATTGTTGGAGTAAAATCCTCAGGGAAGTGGCAATTTTTTCAAACTTTAAACAACAAAAGACAACCCAGTATTTCTCTAGGCAACAGGTGATGTTCTTGTCTGGCAGATCTAGCTGATGAAGTCCCTGGAGCAAAGGGAATGATCACCTGCGAGGAGCCTGGCTCCAGAGCCGACTCTCTGAGGGAACCTGCACTGTGGCCTTGAATTCAACCGAGCCGTTCCGCTCCCGAGGGGCCACAGTACACTTTCTCCTTTTCCTTTCTTAAAGCAATGAAATGCTCACGGCAAAGGGAGACAGCTGTGCAACGCGGGAGTCAGTCTCTGGGGATACTCTTGTCAAGCCATATGGTCCTGATTCAGCAAAATACTTGACTTCACGGAGCTGTATGACACAACTTGCTGGCTTCACATGAGCTGCGTGCGCACTGAGTTGAGCCATGCCTACTGCACTGATAAAATATTACTGAAAGTATTCGTTTTCTTTCTTTCTTTCTTTCTTTCTCTGCAGCCTCAATTACTACCCAGTTGCCTTTGACATCTAGTGACAGAGATTGAGACTTGCAGGATCAAGTGAGGAACAGTGCTACCTTTAATTATTTATATCCAAATCCAAGTCTTGTGCACAGCATGATTAATTTGGCTACTAAACAAGAGCACAGGTCACATGCTGAATCCGGCCTCCCCAGCAGCACTGAAGCTGTTCTGCCACTGTGCTCTTTGTCATCACAAATCCATTTTCAAAAGCCCTCAACTTAAAAGAGCACTAATATGGACACAGGCAGATTCTAGGGATATCCACAGCTGGATTTGTTGATTCAGGCATTAGCTCTGCTGACATCTTTGGTGCCCAAGGAGAGAGTGGGCAGGGTTTTCTTTTTATGTGGAAATCGCTGATCAGCTACTGCAGCGTAACATCCAAGAATCGTCTGAATTTTTAACTTACTCTGAGACAAGCATTTTAGCAGGGAAATGCCCTTCTGCAGCTGTTTCACCTGCAAGTCTCGCTCTGCTTGTTTCTGGTGCTAATAGAGAAATGTAACAGAAAAATTCTGACAGATACTTTCATGTCTACCTTGAGACTTTTTAAAAACCCAGTTTACAGGTGTGTTTATTTACGAGTTAGAGTGGAACATTTATAATCCTGCTTTCACTATAGTTCAGGTCATTTGTAACTGCTATTTAATTTTTAACTAGGCAACAACTCATTAATTCTACTTAGTGTCTACAGCCCTTATTTGTGGTACAACATTCTGAGGCAATATGCTGCTAACAGCACATACTGAGCTAGTTTGTGGTATGGAGAAGACATAGGTCTAAGATTACTTCAGGCTGGCTTTGGTAAATTAATCAGTCGAGAAGTCTCCTGAGGTTTACACACAGTAACACAAACAGCCCTATAGTCACGTATTTTGCATAACAGAAGAAATCCTATCGCTATTACACCTTGTTTCTTGCATGAGGTCAGCAGTTAATGTTTAATGTACATCTAAAGCAGCGTGTTCACAGTGAGCTGTAAGAAACTGTTCTAAGCTAACAGTAAATAAGCAATTTGCCATCACAATTGTCTTGCAGTCGACACATGACAAACATCTAAACATGACACATGGTAGCAGCCATCAGCCACACCACAGCTTGTCCACTGGAATTCTGAAGAATAAGGATTTCTGATAAAATAATTGCATTGTTGTGAATAACAGCAACAACAATA